TGGCGCGAATGCAACTGGCTTTTAAAGTTGATGGGAGATGAGACTCTGATTGGTTTATTGCACGTTACGCCCCAAAAACACCCATTACTCATTAAGGGAATAGGGACAACCCGTTTAGACCATGCGCCCGGGCATGATGATCGTTTTCCCGTCATTAAACTAGCAAAAGTGGATTCGGACACACCCTGAGTGCACCTGCGCTGTGCGCTTTAGACCATGCGCTTAGATCGTTAAAATAGGGCCCCTAGGATGCTTTGAGGGTGAGTAAAACATGGGCTAATTTTCATTTTTGGGTGAACTAACCCTTTAATGTCTTTGCAGGTGAATCTAATGGGGATGTTATCAGACCAAACCAGCCATCTGTAGTTTTAATTGAAGGAAGCAGCACCACTCTGTCCTGTTCATATGATGGATCAGCTTACAGTCTCCACTGGTATCGACAGAGGCCTGGATCAAAACCAGTTTCTGCTGCTGATTGTTGAGTCTTCCAAGTATGTCACCAAAGCTGACCGACCTCATCCACATATGTCCATCAGACTCCATGATAATAAACGTGTGGATCTGGAGATCTCCTCTGCTGCTGTATCAGACTCTGCATTGTACTAATGTGCTCTGGAGCCCAGTGACAGGAAAACCAACTACGCTGTACAAAAACTTTCTTGAATATAGTCATGTTTGTAGGAGGGAGGAGCTTCCTCACATGCAGTGTTTCTTTTCCTACTTTTCTTGCCTTTGCTGTAGGCCTATAATGTTGTCTTTCTCTGAGAACTACTGTACCATTTTAGCAAATGTTAGGGTACCATTTACTCGTTAATTTTTGTATATTTGCAAACTTTGCTTTACTGTTAGAATTTTGCTACTTGATTTCTTTGCACAGTAAACAAATATTACAATCAATTGGATCTCTCTGGACAGTGACAGTCCTCATAACTTAAAAAAAAGTTACATTCAAATATTTAAAATATTTGCTCAATTGATAATTTCATTCTTCTTACTATAAAATGTACTAGGCCAAAGGTTTTCAGTAAGCTTTTATGTGTTGTTCAAGACACACCGCTTAAACGAGATATTGTAGCAAAAGGTGATATGGCATGCATTCTGCCAGAAGGTGGAGCTCCAGGATCCATCCTAGTTCTGTCTCAGTTCAGTTCACACTTTAGAAGAGAACTGCAAGTCTTGACTCTCAAAGTCAAAAGTCTCTCATTAGTACAGATGAAAAGTCTCTCATTAGTACAGATGCTGCTCCTGGTATTCATTACATTTTCTCTCCTAAAAGGTAAGTGATTCAAAGCAATTACTGTGGAAATGCTTTTTTTCTGCTTTTTATACCGTTGACAATCTGATTAGAAATGATTAATTAAAACATTGTTTGTTTTAAACAGAGACTGCTGGTGAAGATGTCATAAAACCAGTCTTCACAGAGAAGCATGTTTTGGCAGGAAAAGATGTTACACTGATCTGCAACTACACTGGAAGTGTGCAGAATTTACAGTGGTATCGTCAGTATCCCGGAACCAAACCTGAGCACATCATCATGTTCTTTGAGACCATCCCCAAATCAGAGCCCGCTCTCCGTCTGACCGCTGCAGCTGATAAAGCAGCCAAAAGTATGAATCTGACGATCTCTTCTACAGAAATGAAAGACTCTGCCGTGTACTACTGTGCCCTGCAGCCCACAGTGACAGGAAACACAACTACACTGTACAAAAACAGAGTGAGAAAGGATATTTAAGACTTTTAAAACTGCACTCTTTATAAAGTGGACAATCAATTGTTACCTTTTGGAATAGTTTTCAAACACATGTACAGTACAATTGGTAGTGTCCTCCTCACCATTAATATTATCAGACTACTTCTTAAAAAAGATATGAATAGCAAAATAATGTTTGAAACATTTAATATCTGACCTGTGCCACTGTAATGTTTGTATAATAGTAGCTTATTTATATATTGTCTGTACTTGTAGGGTAAAATAAGCATGTAGGTATGTGTGGGAGGAGCTCAAGATTTTGTCAACTTCGGTGGAAGAAATCAAAAAGACAACACTGACTTTCCTTCATACAGATCCTGATAGAAGTCTGAACTCAAAAGAAACAGAAACATGTTTCTCATCTCATCCATTACTGTGAGTATCGTTAGTCTTACAATGTGATACACATTTGCACAGTTTTCCAGAACATCACTAAAAATAAATCAAAAGTGTGCATTTTTTTATTCTTAACATAATCATTACAGTCCTTGATTCTTTAAAGGGATAGTTCACCCAAAAAGGAAAATTAGCCCATGTTTTACTCACCCTCAAAGCATCCTAGGTGTATACGACTTTCTTCTTTCAGACGAATCCAATCTGAGTTATATTAAAAATTATCCTGGCTCTTCCAAGCGTTAGAATCGGAGTAGGCGGGTGTTTTTGTTCAACAGTCCAAAAGACATCAAATAAAGCGTGCGCATCCATAATAAAACATGCCTCACACGGCTCCGGGGGGTGAATAAAGGCCTCCTGTAGCGAATCGATGCGTTTTTGTAAGAAAAATATCCATATTTAAAATGTTATAAACATTTTTATCTCACTTCTGCTGACTGTCATACCAGTACGCCGTTCCGGGCGGATGACGCAGCTAGGGCTGGGTATCGAGTTCGATACTTTTTAGGCACTGACCGAATTGCCTCGATACCATCGAGTATCGAAAAACGTCTTGTCGTTCGGTACCAAATTTCGATACCTAAGGGATTAATCTCATCAGCGTCAGTGAGCCAATAAGCCTGCAGCACTAGTCGGTGTGTTCGACTAGAAGAGGTGCGGCGCAGATCGATCATCTGCGAGAGCGATTCGAAAGCGCACAAAGCAGTCTGCTCTCTTTAGCTCTCGTGGTACTGTAATACCACCAGTATAGAGTAGTGCGGGAGCTGCGTAGAGTTCTGATCATATGCAGATGTCTGTTCATACTAACGTTACACGAAATCATGAGATCACGTTGGTTTATTCAGATCAATCTGTAATGATATCAAATAAGTGTTAAATGTCCAGATACTTCATTTAATAACAACAATTACGTAATGTGTTTTGTTGTTTTCTTTCTCCCAGTCTCTCTCACAGACGCGCACACAGTGCAGACACGCGGAGACGCGAACAGAAACTTCTTGTCAGCGCTGCACCGCAAATTTATCAGTAAAATTGTTTCGCAGCTGAAAAGCTACATGACATTTCTCAGTAGCGAGGTTCATGAAGGAGTTTAACTTAAAGATTCGCTATTAGTAGATGCTGCTGCTAAACGCTGCTGAGAGACGCATAGACGCAGTTATTCATACGCACTTAATCTCTCGCTCTCCCTCTCTCTAATAACTGCATTAAGGCTGATTTATACTTCTGCGTCAGACCTACGCCGTAGCCTTTACGCCGTAGGCTATGCATCAGTTTTAATTTATACTTCTGCGTCATTGTCCGCGTCAACGTGCAGTACACATGCAAACTGCTAGTCTGCAGTGTCCACGGGCATGTTGCTGGTGTAATCCACAGTACCACGGCAAAAGCCGAAGAAGAAGCGGCTCATCGGAGAAGCATTATAGCCGTGATGGCGGCAACTCAGTTACTGTGAGATACACATTTGCACCGTTTTCCAGAACATCACTAAAAATAAATCAAAAGTGTGCATTTTTTCATTCTTAACATAATCATTACAGTCCTTGATTCTTTAAAGGGATAGTTCACCCAAAAAGGAAAATTAGCCCATGTTTTACTCACCCTCAAAGCATCCTAGGTGTATACGACTTTCTACTTTCAGACGAATCCAATCTGAGTTATATTAAAAATTATCCTGGCTCTTCCAAGCGTTAGAATCGGAGTAGGCGGGTGTTTTTGTTCAACAGTCCAAAAGACATCAAATAAAGCGTGCGCATCCATAATAAAACATGCCTCACACGGCTCCGGGGGGTGAATAAAGGCCTCCTGTAGCGAATCGATGTATTTTTGTAAGAAAAATATCCATATTTAAAATGTTAGAAACATTTTTATCTCACTTCTACTGACTGTCATACCAGTACGGTGTTCCGGGCGGATGACGTAGGATGTATGCGTCGCGCATGCGCCTGTGAGATTTGCTAGTCTCGCAAGTTTGTTTACAGGAGCAAAGGTAGCAATGTTTCCTTATACTTTAGCAAAGGAAAACCAGTCTCTTCTTGGCTTATATCGAAATCCTCCTACATTTTTCTTTAGAAATCCTCGTTTTGTGCTGCCAATTTGTGACCGGCGTTTTGTTTTGCTGTCTCTCCTCTGTGCTTCCGTGTTCATCACTTCTCATCGGTGCGTGCGCAATGCATACGTCCTACGTCATCCGCCCGGAACGGCTTGCACGTGTGACAGTCAGCAGAAATGTTATGGTACCATTTACTTGTTAATTTTTGTAAACTTTTGTATACTTGTCAACTTTGCTTGACTGACTGTTAGAATTTTGCTACTTGATTTCATTGCACAGTAAACAAATGTTACAATCAATTGGATCTCTCTGGACAGTGACAGTCCTCATAACTTAAAAAAAAGTTACATTCAAATATTTCAAATATTTGCTCAATTAATAATTTAATTCTTCTTACTATAAAATGTACTAGGCCAAAGGTTTTCAGTAAGCTTTTATGTGTTGTTCAAGACACGCCGCTTAAACAACGAGATGTTGTAGCAAAAGGTGATATGGCATGCATTCTGCCAGAAGGTGGAGCTCCAGGATCCATCCTAGTTCTGTCTCAGTTCAGTTGTTTAAAAACAGAGCAGACAAACATTGAATCAGTCACACTTTAGAAGAGAACTGCAAGTCTTGACTCTCAAAGTTATTCTCAAGTACATATGGAGGGAGGGGTTCTTGCAGACCAATCACAGCGCTTGCGGTCTGCATAGAATTGACGCGCTGTTAAATTTTTGGAGAGGTGCACGTCAGGTTACGGCGTATGGGTGCAGTTCACACTTTAGAAGAGAACTGCAAGTCTTGACTCTCAAAGTTATTGTCTCTCATTAGTACAGATGCTGCTCCTGGTATTCATTACATTTTCTCTCCTAAAAGGTAAGTGATTCAAAGCAATTACTGTGGAAATGCTTTTTTTCTGCTTTTTATACCTTTGACAATCTGATTAGAAATTATTAATTAAAACACTGTTTGTTTTAAACAGAGACTGCTGGTGAAGATGTCATAAAACCAGTCTTCACAGAGAAGCATGTTTTGGCAGGAAAAGATGTTACACTGATCTGCAACTACACTGGAAGTGTGCAGAATTTACAGTGGTACCGTCAGTATCCCGGAACCAAACCTGAGCACATCATTTTATACATTGAAACCATCCCCAAATCAGAGCCCGCTCTCCGTCTGACCGCTGCAGCTGATAAAGCAGCCAAAAGTATGAATCTGACGATCTCTTCTACAGAAGTGAAAGACTCTGCCGTGTACTACTGTGCCCTGCAGCCCACAGTGACAGGAAACACAACTACACTGTACAAAAACAGAGTGAGAAAGGATATTTAAGACTTTTAAAACTGCACTCTTTATAAAGTGGACAATCAATTGTTACCTTTTGGAATAGTTTTCAAACACATGTACAGTACAATTGGTAGTGTCCTCCTCACCATTAATATTATCAGACCACTTCTTAAAAAAGATATGAATAGCAAAATAATGTTTGAAACATTTAATATCTGACCTGTGCCACTGTAATGTTTGTATAATAGTAGCTTATTTATATATTGTCTGTACTTGTAGGGTAAAATAAGCAAGTAGGTATGTGTGGGAGGAGCTTAAGATTGTGTCAACTTTAGTGGAAGAAATCAAAAAGACAACACTGACTTTCCTTCATACAGATCCTGATAGAAGTCTGAACTCAGAAGAAACATAAACATGTTACTCATCTCATCCATTTTCATTTTTATCCTCAGTTACTGTGAGATACACATTTGCACCGTTTTCCAGAACATCACTAAAAATAAATCAAAAGTGTGCATTTTTTCATTCTTAACATAATCATTACAGTCCTTGATTCTTTAAAGGGATAGTTCACCCAAAAAGGAAAATTAGCCCATGTTTTACTCACCCTCAAAGCATCCTAGGTGTATACGACTTTCTACTTTCAGACGAATCCAATCTGAGTTATATTAAAAATTATCCTGGCTCTTCCAAGCGTTAGAATCGGAGTAGGCGGGTGTTTTTGTTCAACAGTCCAAAAGACATCAAATAAAGCGTGCGCATCCATAATAAAACATGCCTCACACGGCTCCGGGGGGTGAATAAAGGCCTCCTGTAGCGAATCGATGTATTTTTGTAAGAAAAATATCCATATTTAAAATGTTAGAAACATTTTTATCTCACTTCTACTGACTGTCATACCAGTACGGTGTTCCGGGCGGATGACGTAGGATGTATGCGTCGCGCATGCGCCTGTGAGATTTGCTAGTCTCGCAAGTTTGTTTACAGGAGCAAAGGTAGCAATGTTTCCTTATACTTTAGCAAAGGAAAACCAGTCTCTTCTTGGCTTATATCGAAATCCTCCTACATTTTTCTTTAGAAATCCTCGTTTTGTGCTGCCAATTTGTGACCGGCGTTTTGTTTTGCTGTCTCTCCTCTGTGCTTCCGTGTTCATCACTTCTCATCGGTGCGTGCGCAATGCATACGTCCTACGTCATCCGCCCGGAACGGCTTGCACGTGTGACAGTCAGCAGAAATGTTATGGTACCATTTACTTGTTAATTTTTGTAAACTTTTGTATACTTGTAAACTTTGCTTGACTGACTGTTAGAATTTTGCTACTTGATTTCATTGCACAGTAAACAAATGTTACAATCAATTGGATCTCTCTGGACAGTGACAGTTTTCATAACTTAAAAAAAAAGTTACATTCAAATATTTGCTCAATTAATAATTTAATTCGTCTTACTATAAAATGTACTAGGCCAAAGGTTTTCAGTAAGCTTTTGTGTGTTGTTCAAGACACACCGCTTAAACAACGAGATATTGTAGCAAAAGGTGATATGGCATGCATTCTGCCAGAAGGTGGAGCTCCAGGATCCATCCTAGTTCTGTCTCAGTTCAGTTGTTTAAAAACAGAGCAGACAAACACTGAATCAGTCACACTTTAGAAGAGAACTGTAAGTCTTGAGTCTCAAAGTTATTGTCTCTCATTAGTACAGATGCTGCTCCTGGTATTCATTACATGTTCTCTCCTAAAAGGTAAGTGATTCAAAGCAATTACTGTGGAAATGCTTTTTTCTGCTTTTTATACTGTTGACAATCTGATTAGAAATGATTAATTAAAACATTGTTTGTTTTAAACAGAGACTGCTGGTGAAGATGTTATAAAACCAGTCTTCACAGAGAAGCATGTTTTGGCAGGAAAAGATGTTACACTGATCTGCAACTACACTGAAGCCGTTCGCAATTTGCAGTGGTATCGTCAGTATCCCGGATCCAAACCTGAGCACCTCATTTTATTCTTTGAAACCAACCCCAAATCAGAGCCCGCTCTCCGTCTGACCGCTGCAGCTGATAAAGCAGCCAAAAGTATGAATCTGACGATCTCTTCTACAGAAGTGAAAGACTCTGCCATGTACTACTGTGCCCTGCAGCCCACAGTGACGGGAAACACAATTGCACTGTACAAAAACTGAATGAGAAATATATTTATGGAAGATGATGATGCACAATGCATAGTTTAGAACTACATTCTAAACTGGACACTCAACTGCTACATGTTAGAATAAATTTTAAATGCATGTACAAGTGGTAGAGTGTCCTGATTCCCTTAAATATCAAGACTACCTTTGATATGAAAAGCAACTTAATGCTTAAATCATTTGACATCGGTTACAGTGCCACTGCAATTTTTGTATAATTTCATAAATCAGAGTGACAAAATGCCATTTTAGTGTAGACTACAGTTTATTCATATACTGACCGTACTTGTAGAGTGAGACGAGTAGGCACTGTGTGGGAGGAGCTCCATGTTTTGTCAACTTCAGCAGAAGAGCTCAAGAGGTTCCATCTCAGTTTAGTTCTTGACTCTCAAAGTCATTGTCTCTCATTAGTGCAGATGTTGCTTCTCACATTCATTATATTGTCTCTCCTAAAAGGTGAGTGATTTATAACAATTACTGTGGAAATGCTGTTTTTCTCCTTTTTATACTGTTGACAATCTGAATTAGTCAATTAGAAATGATTAATTAAAACACTGTTTTAAACAGAGAATGCTGGTGAAGATGTCATAAAACCAGTCTTCACAGAGAAGCAGGTTTTGGAAGGAAAAGATGTTACACTGATCTGCAACTACACTGAAGCTGTTCGCAATTTGCAGTGGTATCGTCAGTATCCCGGATTCAAACCTGAGCACCTCATTTTATTCTTTGAAACCAACCCCAAATCAGAGCTCGCTCTCCGTCTGACCGCAGCAGCTGATAAAGCAGCCAAAAGTATGAATCTGACGATCTCTTCTACAGAAGTGAAAGACTCTGCCGTGTACTACTGTGCCCTGGAGCCCACAGTGACAGGAAACACAACTACACTGTACAAAAACAGAGTGAGAAGTAAAATTCAAGATGAAAAACAAGACCCTCATTTTACAAACGAATTATGTAACCATTAGAAAGAATTTGTGAACAATATACAGTAATAAAACTCTGGCGCAAAAGTACTTAAACTAGATTATTGTAGCGGATTAGCTCATGGGAAATATGAATAATTGATTTGTTAAATCAAATAAAAATTAGTGTGTCAGATTGGTCGAGACGCTACATTATTTTAATAAAAATTAATTCCTATAATAAAGCAAGTTACCAGCTCTGAAAGTGTTGTACATAGTTATAAACATATACCAGAAAGATTACACAGTTTCAGTGCATTCCAAACCCTATTTAAATACAAGACACATCATGTTTCTTCTAGATACAGAAAATGCTGTATTCTCAGCAGATGCAAACTTTACCAAGAAGTGATGTTCCAATTCCCACTCCCAGCATACCAAATGACATACTTGATACACCATATGCAGACTATTAAATGGAGAAGCTTTGTACCAAACTTTGCATAAAGGAAGAACAGAAAGAACCTCTGAAGTATGTTTAAAGCTATATGAGAACAAGTGGGTGGAGCTAGCTGAGGAGAAAGTCACTGCAAACAAAAGAACGGCACAATGCCTCCGAAGACAGAAAGGGGCTTTCAGTGATCTTGAGAAATCTTCATAAAAGCGATGTTGTTGCTCTGTCTGTTCATACTTTTCAATCACTTAGGTAAGGAATTCACTTTAATTGGTTGTTGTTTTAGGGTAAAAAGAAAACGACTTCCTGTTTTTTATTTTAATACAAGTATTATGTGCTAAATATGTATATCTTTACAGGCAAAACTACAGGGTATGGAATCAGACCAGACAAAAACACCACAGTGTTAATAGAGGATACAAACATTACACTGTCATGCATATATGAAGGCTCAATAGACAGTTTGTACTGGTACCAACAAAAACCTGGATCAAGACCAGAGTTTCTAATAATGATTGATGAAGCTTCTCAATATGTGACAAAAGCCAATCCACCTTACCCACGTCTGTCAATCAAAGTTGATAAAGTACAGAAACGTGTTCATCTGGAAATCTCCTCTGCGGCAGTTATGGATTCCGCTATGCATTACTGTGCTTTGAGGCCCACAGTAACAGGAAGCACACGTACACTGTACAAAAACCCTTTCTGTATCTAACAATTCAGAGTGACTGTGCATTTGAAATGTAAACAATGTGAAATGTGAACTGCTCTATTTATTTTGAGATGCTGTCTTCAGTCTTTTCAGTGTCTGTAAGTGTGTGATTTCTAAGATGCACTACTTTGGTGTCCAGATGGGATCTTCAGCATGGAAGAAGCATTTCATGGATGAATGAGAACAACAATCCAACTGAACTCAGCCACCGCATCTTCAAATATTCACACTCTGGAAAGTCCTGCAGCCAGTAGCCTATATCTGACAGCAGCTACAACAAGTGCACCAAAATATCCAGCATTTTGGCGAGAGACAAAAACGTACACCCCTAGTCTTTCTGAAAAGATCCCTGAGGTTTTTAGTAACAGCAAAGTGTGCATTTAGCGCAAGTTATAAACATATACCAGAAAGATTACACAGTTTCAGTGCATTCCAAACCCTATTTAAATACAAGACACATCATGTTTCTTCTAGATACAGAAAATGCTGTATTCTCAGCAGATGCAAACTTTACCAAGAAGTGATGTTCCAATTCCCACTCCCAGCATACCAAATGACATACTTGATACACCATATGCAGACTATTAAATGGAGAAGCTTTGTACCAAACTTTGCATAAAGGAAGAACAGAAAGAACCTCTGAAGTATGTTTAAAGCTATATGAGAACAAGTGGGTGGAGCTAGCTGAGGAGAAAGTCACTGCAAACAAAAGAACGGCACAATGCCTCCGAAGACAGAAAGGGGCTTTCAGTGATCTTGAGAAATCTTCATAAAAGCGATGTTGTTGCTCTGTCTGTTCATACTTTTCAATCACTTAGGTAAGGAATTCACTTTAATTGGTTGTTGTTTTAGGGTAAAAAGAAAACGACTTCCTGTTTTTTATTTTAATACAAGTATTATGTGCTAAATATGTATATCTTTACAGGCAAAACTACAGGGTATGGAATCAGACCAGACAAAAACACCACAGTGTTAATAGAGGATACAAACATTACACTGTCATGCATATATGAAGGCTCAATAGACAGTTTGTACTGGTACCAACAAAAACCTGGATCAAGACCAGAGTTTCTAATAATGATTGATGAAGCTTCTCAATATGTGACAAAAGCCAATCCACCTTACCCACGTCTGTCAATCAAAGTTGATAAAGTACAGAAACGTGTTCATCTGGAAATCTCCTCTGCGGCAGTTATGGATTCCGCTATGCATTACTGTGCTTTGAGGCCCACAGTAACAGGAAGCACACGTACACTGTACAAAAACCCTTTCTGTATCTAACAATTCAGAGTGACTGTGCATTTGAAATGTAAACAATGTGAAATGTGAACTGCTCTATTTATTTTGAGATGCTGTCTTCAGTCTTTTCAGTGTCTGTAAGTGTGTGATTTCTAAGATGCACTACTTTGGTGTCCAGATGGGATCTTCAGCATGGAAGAAGCATTTCATGGATGAATGAGAACAACAATCCAACTGAACTCAGCCACCGCATCTTCAAATATTCACACTCTGGAAAGTCCTGCAGCCAGTAGCCTATATCTGACAGCAGCTACAACAAGTGCACCAAAATATCCAGCATTTTGGCGAGAGACAAAAACGTACACCCCTAGTCTTTCTGAAAAGATCCCTGAGGTTTTTAGTAACAGCAAAGTGTGCATTTAGCGCAGAACCCACACAGACCACAGGATGAGCATCCTCTGGCTGATGGGCTCACTAACATAGGGTGAACAAACATCTTGGTTTTCGGGGACAGTCCCATTTTTGGTGTCCTGTCCCTGGGAATGTACCCATTTTACAGCACATACAAAACATCACACAAACACACTGCAAAAACACTTACCCACATAGCCCGCTGGTTAGCAGGCCAAATGTGTAGGGAATAGTTTTACTACTAGAAGGTGCTGAAAGCTATATGGATTACTTTAACCTGAATGAGAGCAGAATATTACAATCAATTACCAAAAGAGACAACGTTATTGGTGACATAAATTAAAGTAATACTCTTTGTATGTACTATATAAAAGGACCTGAACAGGGTGCGGGATTTTGTATACAGTTCCCGAATGCTTTCCCGGAAAGGTAATTCCCAAACATGCATAACAATAGCACATGGCTGAAGTATTAAGAAGATACAAACAAAAAAATTTAATCAACTAAACAACAGTACTTTCAACAATTATACACTTGCAGAAAGCATATATCTTTTGTGTTTAAAGTGAGCCTAAAATGCAAAATAATAAGCCTACATTTCAGGAGAGTAAAGATACACCTTCTAAAGCACAAACATAAAATAACATTTGAAAAAAGTCATGAGTGAAAATACACATTCACACTTGTAAATGAAAACATTAACTAGAAAACGTTAGAAATATTTGTTAGATGGTTTTAGTTATATCATGGTCCATCATTTTGGGAATGTGTTTTTGTAAAACCATAATTTTGTGATAACTTAATGCTGTTTTGTTCATTTTGCTTCTTATATTAATATATGCCATTTACAATAATGATATTAATAATAAATACAACATTTGATTAATAGATAATAACAAGTGACATTATCTGTTTACATTTCAGAAATCTAACCAGTTTACACTTACTTTTTCTATGAGGGCCTCAATCCAGCAGGCTGTCCAGGCTAAACGCCATTTTCTTCAGTGGGTATATGCAGGTAAAAGTCCAAACACCTCTGGCCCATTTCCAGTTACCCAATCTTCCAAAAACTTCCATGAAAAATAAAAAGAATATAGACTGTGAAGAAAAAAACGTGTTCATGTTGTTCTTCTTCCCCCCGTTGCTCATATCAGCTATGGTGTGCATGAAGGGACATTCTGCATGGCGTTTAAGAGCCGATCACTTGTCAATTAAAGATGGCAAAACTATTTATTTCACTGAAAAAACGAATTTAATTTAAGTTGCCGTGATTACACGTATTTAATAAATTAACCTACAGCTGTGGAGAGCGTATAGCATCTTCCAGGCGCCGACTGCAAAACTGAGGTGATCAGCTCCGGTTGATGAACTTTAGATGATACCGAGCTCACATCTCCATCTCTGTTGAAGATGAATATTTCGTCTTAAAATTAAAGCCACCAGCACCACCTTGCGTTCAGAATGCTTTGGTGCAAGGTTGTTTTTTCAAATTGCCAATAAACACATTTTACTGTATATTCTATTCTTTTAACAGAAATGTGGGATACATTGCAATCAGCACAATAATAGTGTAATAACAATAATGTAATAATTAATCACATTGTTATTTGTATATAATGTCATAATATGTTTTTTTATGCTAAATTGACTGAGTGTAATTATTACAGTACACCGTTTATTCTTTATTTTGCGTAATGTTTGACTATTTTCTACAAGGGTCAAATGTTCTGGTTACTTCACCTGGCCACAACAAAAGAACAAATTTCATATAACTTGTAACTGAATATTACATGTAATAGGCTACTATCACATTGCAAAATACCATGCATTTTGATAATATCACACATGTACAACAGTTGGCTGATGATCCTTTCAATATTCTTAATAAGTACACAATAGGTGATTTTACAAAAGCCCAGAGTGTTTCTCTGAATTTGTGAAAAGCAAAGTGAAGGAGCTCTGGTTTGGTTTTTAAATAAATAAATTCATCTACTGTAGATGTTCCTTTCGTGAGATGAATGCATACATTCAGGATCATGTCATACTAGACCCTCAGTCCTCGGTCTGCTCTCAATCTACTAAATCTGTGTGCTGCCTTCAGTACAGTAAATTACTAGATCTTTAGGCTTTGGCATTTTTTTCTACAATAATTAGCTTAATTGTCGAATTATTATCTTTTCCCCCTGAGTTTTGTTGCAGCTCTCCTTGTCTCCCTCCACTGGCTTTCAGCCCAGCTGCCTGCATCAAATTCACTCATACTTATAGATGTAATGAACACTTATGTAAGTGTAAGCCTCACATATAGATCTATCACTGCGTTTGAACCCTCTTACTGACTAAGTCTCCTGCAAGTCTGCAAGTCTGTTGTAGAGCTGCTGTGATTTTGGTTTTATATGAAGTTGCTAGCAAGAAAATCTGATTCGTCAAGCACACAAACACATATTCTTGTGGTATTTGAGGTGCTTTTATTTACTTATTCGCAACTTAAAATTTAAAAACTAAAAATTTATGTTTGAGGTATAAGTGTATGTGTAATTTATGTTGTAGAACAAAGTGTGATGTTAACTACTACAGACTTTATTTTACTCACAAATTAAAATCTATTATTCTAAAATAAATGCACACGTTTAAATGGGTTCATGTATATGTATATACAATGCATCAGTCTTCCTGTCCTCATTTCTGTCACCCACCCACACACACATGCGCAAACACACACATCCTGTCTTGCTTGCCTCACAGAAGAGAAAAAACAACCACAGACGTATGTGACGTAGGCAGGAAGTTAGGCATTATGTCTTATTTCTGCACAGCGCCCACTTCCTGTGGAAAATAATACACTAACCCCTTTGATTCAAATCATCCTACTTACCTACTTTCAAAATGATGCCAGTGGTTAGCTTTAGTTAGCTTAACTATAATTATGATGAAACTGTTTTTTATCACTTTTATTTCTATATAATTTATAGATTGGGTTCTTGCGTTACAGCACCATCTTCATGAAAAAAAATTATGTTTGTGCATGTAGTAAAATAATCATGATGTGAACGGCACAATGAAAACAACATTATATATCAACTGCTGCAGTTTTAAACAGTTCATTGCAGTCCTTCGAAAAAAGCTTCAAGTAATGACATTTATACATTTCATCATACATTTCCTGCATTCCATAGTGCAATACATTTCTAGAAGCATTCAGGTCAAAACACCTGAATATGATTGTCAAAGACACATCTAAGAATAAACTATACCTTTTTGAAAGGCCTATTCAAAACTGTCATATTTTTTCTGATGTTTTACAACAGTTAGGGGTAGATAGTATCAGGACGCAAAGTTTCATTTTGTGTCTCTCTGTAAGTTTTGGAAAAAGAGTGTGAGATTTTTCCATGTGGTTGTTCACCAATTGCATTTTTTTTTTCGTACAATGCTATTTTCGCTTATATCATTCGGGTTGCTGGAATCCACCTACTGTATAATACTTTTCATAGTTTCATAGTTCATATGCTGTTTTCAACTTTCAAACCACATTGTATATGCACGTAAAAGTAAACAGTACCGCTATATAATAATATAATATTGCTAAAAAAATAAATAAATACAAATCCTTCTTAATCCCTCTTACCTACTTTCAAAATAATGCCAGAAGTATCTTAAAGGGCTTATAAGGTGTCTTTTAAAAAGAACTATAATTATACTGTTTAGCAATTTTATTTTACATGATTTCTAGCCTGGGTTCTCACATTACTACAGCACCATGAAAAATGACCACATACATGCACACATACATTTATGTATGCAATTTAAGATGCAGTAATTCTGCAGAATTAAACATCATTTTCAATTAGAGTTACATATTAATATAAATATTGTTTTTTCAAACATACAAAACCGTTTGACCAGTCTTAATTTAAATGGACCTGTCAAAAATAGCTTAAAAAAAGGTCAAAAGAGCCGAATAACCTAGTTAATGACCTAGTTCTGTGTGATTTATATTTCACATGAACAAACACTACAGCTCCATGTAAATTATGTTATATTAATGCTGAAAAAAGTGTTTCTGTTGTGATAAATAAATACAGAAATATGATTTTATGATTGTTTTGATTTATATCTATACTAGTCTGCTAGTTAGTAGTGCTGATGTTGTTATTTGTGCATGAACATGAACAAACACTACAGCTTCATGTAAATTATGTTATATTAATGCTGAAAAAAGTGTTTCTGTTGTGATAAATAAATACAGAAATATGATTTTATGATTGTTTTGATTTATATCTATACTAGTCTGCTAGTTAGTAGTGCTGATGTTGTTATTTGTGCAAAATCTTTCAATTACCGGCAAATTCTTGATAAATGACACATTGCATCGAAAACATTGAAACCCATCACATAAGAACTGCAGTGTACATTGTTTCACAATTGTTCACAACTGGTTCCTTTTAATTTGCATATTAACTTGCAATTACTTTGAAATCCTTTTCTAAATGTCATTATTTTTGTAGTACGTGTTTCATAAGGGTCCTTCCCCAGATCTGAAAAATGCCAGTCAAGGGCCTTGCAGCATTATTATTTATCTTGACAAAAGCTCGCAATTAAATAGAGATCAATTTGCTCAAAATTGGAAAAAAAAAATATATATATATTAGAGGTTACATTGTTGTGACGTTGTGTCACTTGATCAAAGGTGGTACTTTACAACCACTGCTTCAGAATCATCATTGTCCTGCCCCTAAAATGTCTTTCATCACCATGGACGTTTTTTTATTTTTGCAAAAGTTCATCCTGACCTCATATACTGTATTTAGGGTCACAAGGCTATAGTGCTCACCTCTCTGCATACTAATGGGATAGACCTTATAAAACAGAATGACAACAGACACACTCTCTTTCATGACAACAGAATAATGGAACTTGAGTTTCAATTCTGGTCTGTCCTTATTATGACAATCTTGTCTTCATTTGTTGAAGGCATACTGAAAACTGCTTATAAAAATAGCTAGACTTTAATTAAAAAAATAATATTTGACATTACTTAGCATGCTACATTAATAACATTTTTATTGTCATAAACGAATTTAAAAAAAAGACAGGACATCTTTTAGACTGCTGTACAATGCAGATAAACAAAACAAAATATGAGATTAATAAACAGGTTTTACCAACCTTTATTCTATCAATCATCTGAATTCTCATACCTTCCTTTGCAAGATGAAAAGATGATAATATATTTAAATTAAAATTGTAATATTTAGTAAATTCTTAAAATGAAGATGACACAGAAAAACATCAACAGGAAGTGTGAGTGATTTTGTTTGCGTGGAAAACAGGTGCTGTGGATGTGGGCTTTATGTCTGTGTGGGGTTTACAGGCTTAGATCTGACAGCTGGTCTATCTCGAGAGCTCGGTTTTCCGCTTCACACAGCTCTGGTTTTAAACCATGGAAAACACAACACACTTCCCGGATGAGGTGGACAAGTTTAGAAATTTGGGCGTGTATGTTTTTTGCCCGTTATTTACAGATGTTGCTTTTAAAAAAAATTGTTTAGCATATATGGTTGGTTTTACATAACTGATTTACTTGTGTATGTCAGAACAATCCAAAAGTTGTGATGACTTTAACATTTTCATATTTTTAAAAGCATCAACACTAACTTCATATTGTACTTTTGCATGTAACATTCTATATACAGTGTGTAAATTGTAACACTATTCAAGCTATGCATTGTACTGTAATTTTCATGCTTTCACATAGAATAGCAAAATTCAAACTGAGTTGGAAGCTGAATATGAAACCTGTTCTCAACACACCAATGTACTGTACCAGAAGATTGATCCTAAAATATTGAAAACATAAATAATATAGATCTGTCTGTTTTACACATATCCTTTTATATTCATTATTATTATTATTATTCATTAAAATAATAAATTTTGATCGTTTTCCCATGTTGCATGCTATTTTACATTTTGTGCTTGGAGTTTCATTCACAAATGTGCAAGACTCAAGGTTGTATGT